TGAATGGTGTGGTGCTTTTTAGATTCATAAAATTTGAAATTTTCAAATTTGTGTAACTTCGTGAAAAAAAAAGATATCCGAGCATACTCAACGGCATTTGAAAGAAAAAAACTCATACTTTAATTTGATGTATACAGTTTTTTGAAAAAAAATTTCTTTTCTTTGCTACATAACCTCAAATATAGGCAAAAATCGCGTTTTTTGCATTTTAAGGTTAGGATATCTCGAAAACCGGAGCCACCAGAGTAATTCTGACCTCGGATTCGGATTCAGCGCGCAAAAAACCTTCGGAAAACTATACTCGGGTTCTTGGTAAAATTTTTTGTCGGCCTGTGTTATCAAAAATACGAGTATTTGTCATACTTTACTGACATGTATTTGTAATGACCACAAATAAAACTTTATAGTATACTGACGCGTACAGACGTATATTTGTGCTCTCTAGAATTTTTTATAGTTTTTAAAAAATTTTCCGCTTTACCCCAATTATCTCTTCGCATAAAAATATTAGGAAAATGTGATTAAGATCAGTGAGAGCGTATTTAGCAAAGCTATTTCTAAGTTTTTTTTTTCTTAAACCTTTTCCACTGATATATGACTTGAGATGGAGATCATAACCTTACTATGAGTCTTCAGATAAATACGTTTGTCTATAGCATTAGCTTCCATAGTTTTGTTGTCTCTATGAGCCTGATTCAATGCATTTTTAACGACTTTAGTATTGTTCAGCACTTCTACTATTTCAGCAGTCCCTCCAGCTAAAATTTCAGTGGTGCTCAAAGCGGCAAGTAATAAATAAGGAAGAGCTCAATCTGCTATCTAGGAATCGGTAGAATACCCAGTATATATTTTTTTTCTACCTTGTGACAAAAATCTCTCTTCCTTGTCACCAATTATTTTGCGGGGTAAGTGAGGCACTTTCGCTCAAGGTAATTGAGGGAGAAAAGAGAGGATAGGTCATAAATAAGTTATACAATGACATGAATCAAATTAAACTTACAACCTATTATTATTAATCATGATTCACACTAAACATACGCGCGCATAACATAGTCTAAATTATTGACCAACTAACTACAAAATGGAACAGTAAACTACTTATAATAATCACAAATAAATATTCGCATTTCATCCTAATACCGAATCGCGCACTTAACGTATTACAAACTAACTTAAAAATTACGCCAACATATACCGGATGAATTGCCCGGCACGTGGGCGCCTGGACAATTCGCCGGTCGCGACTTACACTACTATAAATTAAACTTAAGCGCGAACCTTTAGATAGCCGGCACGTGAATGCCTGGCTATCTTATTCAACGCACACCGGTCGTCACATCACCAGAGAGAGAGAGTGTAGAGAGAAAGAAGAAAAGAAGGCTTAACCTTTATTCACTGCTTCTCGCAACGTCGAGAATTTCGAGCGATGTGCTGCTGCAGGAAGTACCGGTCGTCGTTGCTGGTCAGATCGTTGCTAGCTGCTGGTTACTGTCGGTGACCAAGTATCTGCAGGCGACGTTGACTCTCCTTGCAGGTGGGGCTGGCTGTAGTCGCAGATAAAACTGTTGCCGGTAGGGTTGGCTTTCCCTTCAGCTATCCCAATACTGCACACTCTGCACTCTAGCAGGACAAGGCTTGGACTCTCGCACGCACTTATTCTCGCGCTCGTCTCGCAGCCGCTCAGCGGCGCTCGCTTCTCTCCCTACCTTGACCTATTAGTTAGGTGGCACGCGACGCACCGCTTATGGGTCACGCGTCGCGCGCCTGCCTATCCCTGCATGGGCCTAGTACTCTCTCTCTCTCTCTCTCTCTCTTTCTCACTCTCTCCGCGCTCCTCAACTTTTTCCTGCGCTCAACTGCGCTGGCCCATCCTTGGCGCTGAAACAAAAAGACCAAGTGTTAGGCGCATACTTTAATACGCCTAACGTTGGCCAACACGCCTTGCCGAGTGAAGGAGAGAGAAACGCAGACGAGAGACCGGCACACGGCCTGCACTCGTCACAACCTCCATTCTTCGTCACAACTTTTTGGCATGTTTGATTATTGAACGAATAACTGCGAGGGTGGTCCGATAAGTACTTAGCCTACTAAAGAAAAACGAAAATTTTTGGAAAAGTGGCCTTTTATTTTTCAACATAGTCTCTTTTTAGTTCGATACACTTGGCCCAGCGATGCTCCAACTTCTTTAAACCGTCTGAAAAATACGTTTCCTCGAGGTCTGAAAAGTAGGCTTCCGTGATGACTACTCATGTGGCTGTTCCACAGACTTATTTCGATCAAATCGTGGATCAAATCATAGCCGTAATCGGAAGAATTATCGCGACCAAGGTCGCAGCCATGGTCGTAACTGCCGACAATGTAGCTTCAGCTTCGCGCGTCGTCGCAACGGCCAGCAATTACAAAGCCACGGACGCATACTTCTCTAATAGTCATCAACTTATAGAGTCGTCAAAAAATACAATTGCTTATTTGTCAGCCGTAACCGCCATAAACATTGCCCTTGAAGCCGAGCACACACAATACGTGGGAATGCTTGGCGACACATTTATGCGAATGGGCGACATTGCCAATAGGTCTGAAACCTCTGTTACCAACACCTCTCCAACATTAAGCAACGCCACCGAATTAATCGGGACGTTAATATAAAGTTCGTAGATTTCATCAGCGATATCGCTAGAATCTTTTGCGAACTGCAGTATGATAAGAATCCTAATTTTATTAAAACTCAATTCAACGTTCAAGGGCACTTCAAAAGGCGCCAATCTAGATGAATTTCAACAAAGACAGACGGTTGCAAAATTGTTATAACTGGATAGGAATCAAAATAAGTAATTCCATAACAACGTCTAACCATAATAGAAAACAACTTCAATTAATTGTATCCCATTACAGAATGTATCAAAGAATCTGCCCTATGTTAACGCTTTTAGCTTATATAAACGCGACGATATATGGGGAAATCGACGGAACTTCGAATTTTTTTGTCACTCAGTTATCTATCTCAGAACAACAGTTTTCTTTATAAAACAAAGTATGCAGGCATCATTTCACTTGTGAGCAAGATATCTTCACATTTTCGAGTTAATTTATTTATCATAATGATTTTTAACTCCCGCAAAAAGTTATCGTCGGAAATAGAAAAACATATCAAAGTGCCGCTTGAAAACAATGCAATTTTTCAATAATTTTATTTTTAAAAGTTTTCGAGACATTGCATACCATTTTTAGATATTAAAATATCATTTAGTTGGCTAGGATTTTACTTAAATGAAAATGCAATTGTAAGAAATTTATCGTTTTTTCAAAAAATTTATTTTATTAATTTTTCTAAAATAACTCAGTGAGCAGTTAATAAAAATGAATTACGCGGGCATATTTTAAACTTGAAAGCTTTTAGAATCATGACTAAATAGGTTTAATAAGTACGTTTCCAAAAAAAAAATCAATTGTATTTTCAAAAAAAAATTGCAGTTCCGTGGATTTTTCCACATATAGAAATCTCAAATAAAAAAAACATAAAATTGCAAACTTAATCTAAAAAGTTGACTTTGAAATGATCTTCAACATGATCGCCAAGACCAAAGGCAAAATCATATAAGATATGTCCCTCTCAAAGTTGAGAAACTTTCATCTGAACCGTTTATCACTAACTCCCATAGTTTCCGAGAAAACTTACTAGGTAGATTAAAATGGTCCATCCTGTGTATATACAAGGTATCCCAGACCACCCGTCCATCCCTTCTAGTTTTCCAAAAACGCATTTTCAGAAAAATAAAACATACAAAATTTCAGTAAATCATTCAAGGATTTCAACGGTAACCTTTAATTTGACCTTGGAAATGATTTTAAGGGCATCTCAAGGTCAACTTGGTTTTTTTAAATAGGAACCCCTACTTTTGACCTTGAATTCTTAAAGAGCACGAAAGTTTGAATTCAAAAGTGTTTTTATAATTTTTTTTATTATGGGCACAGTTTCCGAGACAAAAATTCATTAACATTTACAATTTAACTCGTGAAACTGATGGCTTGCAATTATCTGAAATGTTGCAAATAATTTGGTATTAAATTAATTAAATCTTACCTGCAGGTATAAAATCAAAATGGGTCAATGACGTTTCAGATACTACACAACTGAAATTCACTCAGTCAATTCAATATTCACTCCGTGACTAATAACCACTGAACCAAGTAATGAAAAGTAATGCAAACTTAAATTAATGGATATTTTTTTCTTCTTTAAGGTATCGACTTTAAGCCACGTTATTCGAATGGATATTCAAGTTTCATAGTTACCAAAAGTTCATTAACATTTGTAATTTAACTCGTGAAACCGATGGATTACAATTATCTGAAAGGTTTCACATGTTCAATTGCAAATGTTAATGGATTTTTTTCTCGGAAACTGTGCCCTTAATAAAAAAAATTATAAAAATACTTTTGACTCAAATTTTCGTGCTCTTTAAGAATTCAATGTCAAAAGTAGGGGTTCCTATTTAAAAGACCAAGTTAACCTCGAGATGCCCTTGAAAATCATTTCCAAGGTTAAATTAAAGGTTACCGTTGAAATCCTTGAATGATTTACTGAAATTTTGTATGTTTTATTTTTCTGAAAATGCGTTTTTGAAAAACTAGAAAGGGTGGACGGGTGGTCTAGGACACCCTATACTCGTATATGGTATCTTCTGGACAGGACAATTACTATTTAATAAAATGCTTAGTTCAATTATAATATTTGATTTACAGAATTACTTATTTTTGTATGTAATTATTCAATCTTATTGTAAGAGACTTTTTCATCGTTTGACAATCTAATAGTTTTGTAATCATACGTTTATAGATTAATGTATGTGTCCTAAAAATATAAATTTTATATGAATAAAAAGTATAATGATAATTCGCGAGAAATCGTAAGACTAAGTTCAAATGTAATATAATTTAATACTATCAATAACTATATTAAAGATATGTATCTGTTTAGTTTTTTCTTAACCACGTTTTACTTAGGAATAGCTGTGAGCCAAAATCCTGGCTATTTGAAACTACGTAAAATTCGAGCAGCACAAGCTATTTCACGCACGGTAAGTATTGTAAAAATAACATCGCAGAAGTTAGTTTAAAAATATTTAAAAAATTTTCCTTTAACACTTCGTTCAAAACGAAATGTTGTTTAAATATTTATATATTACTAGTGTTATTGAGTGGGCATTGCGCGCTCTTTATTTAAAATTTTTCTGTTACTTATTACATTATTTAAAGCCTTTACGTGAAAACTTGGAGATTCTAATGAGCAAAAATAACTTATGTTGTTTAACCCATTAACGCTCACAGGACGGTTTTTCGAGACCTGAGTTTGAACTATTCTCATGTCATGAATTCTCGTGGAAAAAATTCATGAACCATTGTTTCTTATGTTTTCGAGTGTCCTCTTTCCAATAATGATGGTTAAAATTATCGCTGAAAAACTTTTACGGTCCAAAAATCAAAAATAAATAAAAAAACATGATTTTCTGATTTCATTTTTTGTTTTTAATCGACTTTTCGTTCCCTAAGCATTTTTTTAATGCCTAAAACCCTTATAGATCGCGGCCTCGAGGTTTTAACTACAAGTTAGTATGGTTCTCCGGATATGAAAATTTTTCGTATAAACAAAATGGCGGCCGAAGAGAAAATTTTTTATCTAAAACTTTACAAATTTTTTTCTCGAATACTATAGATTTTCATGAAAATTTTCAAAGAACAAAAATGTCTTAGAATTAGTTATAAAATACTCTCAAATTTTTTCAGAATCATCCGAGAAAATTTTGGGATTTCGGAAGTCTCTGAATTGAAAATTTAAAAATTATGTCAGAAAATTCTGAAAAAATTTGAGAGCATTCTTTGTTTGGTTTTAAGACATTTCTATTCTCAGAAAAATGTTCCTAAAGAGTATACTTTTCGAGAAAAAAAATGTTAAAATTTGCTAAACAAATATTTTGTTTACCAAAAATAAAAACGTCTTCAGCCATTTATATTATCTAAATGTTGCACAATTGTCTCCACGAGGAGGTAGACGTTACCGAGAATCTCATTTTTTTTTGTTTTTTTTTTTCAAATTGTAATTTTTTTTAATTTTTTAAAATTTTTTATGTAATTTTTTTATCATCAGCCACTATGACAAATGAGTTTTATTGAAACATTGGACACAGAAACATAAATTGCAGTCCTCACAAATCTTGTTACTTCTAACTGCGCATTTTCCTTCATTACAATTTTTCTTTGTTCAACAAGTTTTTAGTGAATGGTACTTCTTTTTCTTTGATAAATATTGTCGACTAATCTCGAGAGCAAATTCTTTTGTACCAACTTTTCGACTATTTTTGTTGCACATGTTGTACAAAACAGTAGCATTAGTTGTGGATGATTGTATCAAGCGTTGGAAAATAACGCATGTTCACTTATCGTCCTGATCTTCAGGCATTGAGTATTTTATAGACGATTTTATTTTTTCAAATTCATGTCTCGACATTGCTGATATTACCACTTCTGATTTCAACATAGGATCAGTAGACCAATAGTCTCTTTGAGATAGCCTTCTATTGTAAATGGTGTGTATAATTATGCCAATGAATATGTTCAATTTATCCTCAGTGAGGTTATAACTACATACATCCATATAAATTGATGAATAACAATAGTGATTGCACCCATTTTTTAACAAAAACCGATGAACTTTTACTCATATCACGATATATTACAAAAATTCTCTGAAAGATTAATTCAAATTACGATCAATAAATTATATTATTGTAGAACACTAAACTTTACATACTTCATGTAGTGATTATAGATCTAATCGTGTGCTTTTTGTTGCCTATATCGTATATTGGGATGGCAACTAAGTAATTGCAGATTTTACTCATAGATGGCTTTAGTTGAATTTTTAGGTTTGCAGATCTAGTACAAATGTAAAACACATTTTGTTATTTGATACCTGGCAATTCAGCTGTCAATCAGTAAAAAAATTTTTTTGATCGTTTTTGTAGTTTTCGTTTGGTGTTCGTTGAAAAATGGAAAATCAAAAAGAACATTTTCGTCATATTTTGCTTTTTTATTTCCGCAAAGGGAAAAACGCATCGCAAGCTCATAAAAAGTTATGTGCTGTTTATGGTGACGAAGCCTTAAAAGAACGGCAGTGTCAAAATTGGTTTGCCAAATTTCGTTCTGGTGATTTTTCACTCAAAGATAAAAAACGCTCTGGTTGTCCAGTTGAAGTTGATGACCTAATAAAAACAATAATCGATTCGGATCGTCACAGTACAACACGTGAGATTGCAGAGAAGCTTCATGTATCACATACATGCATTGAAAATCACTTAAAACAACTTGGCTATGTTCAAAAACTCGATACATGGATTCTTCACTAACTGAAAGAAACGCATTTAACGCAACGCATTAACAGCTGTGATATGCTAAAGAAACGTAATGAAAATGATCCATTTTTAAAACGACTGATAACTGGCGATGAAAAATGGATTATAAACAAATAATATCAAGCCGAAAAGATCGTGGAGCAGGCCAGGTAAACCAACTCAAACAACATCAAAAGCTGATATTCATCAAAAGAAAGTTTTGTTATCCGTTTGGTGGGATTACAAAGAAATTGTCTACTTTGAACTCTTACCACCCAACCTAACGATCAATTCTGATGTCTATATTGAACAACTAACGAAATCAAAGAATGTAGTTGAAGAAATGCTGCCTGAATAGACAAATCGAAAGTGTTGTATTCCATCATGACAATGCAAGGCCACACACATCTCTGGTCACGCGGCAAAAATTATTGGAGCTTGGTTGGAATGTTTTGCCACATCCACCATATAATCCTGACCTTGCACCATCTGATTACTTTTTGTTTCGATCTTTACAAAACTCCTTGAATAATAAAAAATTCAATAATGATGATGTCAAATCGTACCTGATTCAGTTTTTTGCTAATAAAAATCAGATGTTTTATGAACGTGGGATTATGATGCTGTCTGAAAGATAGCAAAAGGTCATTAACCCTTTGCGGCATACATTTTTCAGAGAAACCAGTTTTCGTATAAATTGGTTACAAGTGTTTTTGGGATCGCTGATCACGATTCTGAACTCAGAATTTCAAAATTTAGAATGGCGGATCCAAGATGGCGGCAAAAATTTTCGGTTATTTTCTTTTATTTTATTGAAAATTGATATACAAGGGTTTTTACCTAATTATGAATTTAAACTCAAATTTCCGAAATTCGTAATAACGAATCCAAGACTACAGCAAATATCAATATTTCAGATTTTCCTCTGAAAATGTGCATGTAGAGGTTTTCGGGATGGGTGATCATATTTTTTCGAAAATTTCCTTTCTTTCTGCGGAAAGTTCTGAAATTCCATATTTTTAAAAGTCAACTCCTTCCATCAATAGAGGCTGTAACAAACCGTCATCTGTTCAAATGTTGTAATTTCTGTATGCTGGTACTCCATTAGATCCAATGCCAATTCAGTAAATCAGAGGATAAATCATTACCAAACTTACTTGACTTCAATAATCGTGAAATTATATACGTATACATAAGAGTAAAAATATAGCGAGTGTTAAAAATTCTTTCAGTTGTATAGCACATCGAACATTTCAAGTCATCTATTGGAGACCAATGGAAAAACAATTTTAGAGCGATAAAATAGATTCGTACGGATCATTGTAGTATAATACACTAAAATCTGTTGTGAGTTGCAATTTTCGTAATAGCTTGTACCGATCCTGTAGCATTAAAAATTTTTTTTATCAAGTAGTCGAGTTTTTTTATAATAACAAATATTAACGTATCTCATACAAAATGGAAATCGCTGATATTCCTAGCGACACGGAGTCAGTAGATGGACTTGTTGATTCAGAACAAGAGGAGAACAATTCAGATGAAGATCAAGGAGAACGCTCTGGTAATGAAGTATGGAAGAAAAAAGGAAAAAATAGAGATGATGATCAATTCACTGCTGATTTCGGACCAAATATCCCCGAAAACGTAAAATCTCCACTAGATATTTTTTTGTGTCTTGTTCCTGATGACATGCTGGATTTACTAGTTCAGCAAACAAATAAATATACACAGGAGAAAACTCAAGAAAAGCAATTGATCAAAAAAGAAGAGTTACTGATTTTTCTAGGAATTAATATTCTGATGGGAATAAAAAAACTGCCTTCTTATCGCGACTATTGGTCGAGTGACCCAAAGTATATATAAGCTCGCTAATGCCGGTTGTTCGTTTCGGATTCATATTAGGTAATTTACATATATCCGACAACAGCACAGAACCTAAAAAAGGTGAGCCTAATTATGATAAATTGTATAAATTGAGACCATTGCTGGTTAGACTTCAAGAAACATTCAAAACTTGCTGGAAACCAAGCAAATATCAATCTATCGATGAATCCATGATAAAATTCAAAGGTCGAAGTAGCTTGAAGCAATACTTGCCAGCAAAACCAATAAAACGAGGATATAAATGTTGGGTTCGTGCGGATGAGTCCAGTTACGTATGTGAATTTCAAGTTAATACTGGCAAAATCGAAAGTTCTGAGAAACAGTTAGGAGCACGAGTTGTCAAAGATTTGACGCGTGAACTTGTTGGTAAAAATCACCATGTGTACTTCGACAATTTCTTCACTGGTATCGATCTATTAATTTCGCTGAAAGAAGACAAAATATTTGCTTGTGGAACTGTACGTTCCAATCGTACTGGGTTAGCTAAATCTGTAATGCTTGTCAAACAAATGAAACATGAACAATACGATTTTCGAACGTCTGATACTGGTATTACTTGGATAAAATGGATGGATAAGAAATGTGTTTGTTTCCTGTCAAATTACCATGATCCATCCGAAGTGACAACAGTAAATCGAACACAGAAAGATGGCACACGAGTGCAGGTAGATTGTCCAGTCATGTGCTCTGATTACAACAAATACATGGGATTTGTCGATAACGCTAATCGTTTGTTATCTACATATAACATAGATCGAAAGTCCAAAAAGTGGTGGCACAGATTAATCTGGCATTTCATTGATCTA